ACAAGAAGAAAACAAGAAAACCAATAAAAGAACAATTTCCACTGCTGCTAAAAATCAAACAAGCTTAGTGGAAATGTCCCTTGGATACACTATGTAGGTAAGATTAAGAAATTGTTTTCACTTTCTAATCCAATAATGTTAGACAGTTACTCTATACGTCTATAGTTCCAGACAGCACACACTAGTCTGAGATCTTCTAACCTAAAGGTCTCTTAGGAACCACAAGGTCCAGGGATAAAAATGATCTTAAGATGAGCCATGTCAGGGTGGTGGCAGTGTGTGTTTATCTTTCAGGCCGGGGCTGCTGAGTGGAAGAAGGCAGAGCTTTCTAGTCAAGCTGTGGCTACACAGAGCGGGGGACCTTACACTGGATAAAGTAAACACACACGCACACACTCAGTCACAGATACACACATACAGGGCTCTCCCGTCCTCCTCCCTGCCCGTCGGCTGGAGACCACACACCCAGACCACACAGAGTCTGAGAACAGCCCAAGTCACTCTCACGCAACATGGCCCACGAGCTGTCACTCTCACTGCCTCGGTCTCTGTCTTCTGCATGTCACCAGACACACACACACACACACACACACACACATATTGATGGAAAGTACACTTCTAACTCCTTCTACACATAGAACATTGGTAAACCATAAAATGAATTAACAACATTAATTAGTCCTAACATTTGAGGTGATAAATTATCATTTTTCAACAATGGTCTGCCTTTGTATGTTAGCACTTTAGCATGTGTGGGTTTTATGTGTGACCCAGCACTTGCGTTACAGGCAGTCACGTCGCAAGTATTAGGGGTGATCAAAGGATTTGTGAAAGCAACTGCTTACTGCAGCAGCATCCCCCCCACCCACCCAATACCCTTAAATGTGTGAACATCAGGTGGGGTTTTTTTTGCTCATGAAGGGGCTTCATATTACAACTTCATCCAGCTCTTCAAGTACAGCAACCAACAATTGATACAACACATCACCACCTGCTGGTACTTCATTTTATTGCACAAACAGTTTTTCTTTAATAGCTGGTCACTATCTACTATGCAGCTTCAAAATGTTCCCCTACTTTTGGAAATACACACACACACACACACACTCTTAACCAGCCATGTATTTTTGCCTGGTAGACCATCATATTGTTCTGCTTATCAGTCCTTATCTGTTTACATCCGTGTCCCAAGTCGTTTGATTGTTTTCCATTTCTTTGCTGCTCCTTATCCGACAACTGTTATTGCTTTCCTGACATCATATTGTACCGGGTCAAGCACATTGTTATCTGAAGAGTCTTCGATAAACACTGTCATCTGAAAACAATTAAAGCTGATTGATTGTGCTGGTACAGATTTTACTCACCGTGATGGAGAGCGATTCTCATGCCTTCATATAGGTCATTTCCAATGATAATAATCATGGGTAATTATTATGATAATGTGATGAAAATAGTGATAACCTTATTATATTTATGAAAGAGATTGTACTGATGCCTGCACAAACCATCCGTCATGTAATCTGTTATTGTCTCAAAATAAGCATCGCTCGACTTAATATTTCAGTTTTGCTCCTGTTAGTTTCCCCGTCATTGGGTCATCAGCAGCGGGCCTGTAGTTGGTGATGATTGGGGGATTTGCAGTGTCATTTTTATGGGTCAAAATTCGTAAAAAGGAGATATAGGTCATAACCTTTCCTAACAACAGAGTCATCAAGCACCATCAGCCAGCTGACAAGGGTTAAACAGGACTGTCGTCAAATCCTGGGCAGGGGTCCTGACCCTAAACAGACTGGGGTCATGGCCCCTGAGTCTAGTATAGAGTTACCACAGGTATGTTTTCAGGAAGAGGGGATCCAACCAGGCTTTCCTCTGTATTTGTGTGTGCAGAATTTATTATCTATCTACGCTTGTGTCTGATTTTGAATATTCAGAAAATGGTTATCCTAGATGTTTTTGATTTTACTATAAAAAAAACCTTCATGCCAGCAGGAGGAGCTGTTTTTACCAGTGTTGTATTGTTCAACATCTACTTTCCACATGAAACCAAACCCAATCTAAAAGCATAGACACCTACAGATTGGTGTACAATATCCTTGTGTGTGCAATTCCCAAGTTCTTTAAAGCTTCTTTTATATCCCATGGCATTTTATGTGCAAACCAGAACATTCAGCAGCGTTTCATTACTTTGAGCTTTGGTGTAAAATAGACTTGTCCTGACTTTAACCCTCATCTGTGGGGAGGATACTGCCCTCTGCAGTCTATTTCAGAGGCTACATAGTTGCCTTAAGCTTCTTTAATACAGTACACAGCCAGAACAGAGTTTGAACTCTAAGTATGTCCAACAAAAAAGTCGTTTCACTTTAACTTAATTTTCAAAAAAAAAAAAGATGCTTTCTCAAACGACGTTTCTCATCTCATTTTAATAACAAAATTTAATAGACCTAATGGGTGACCCTATTTTACCTTTCCTAATATCATTTATGAATATTATGTCAAACAAACATTTCCTATTTGCGTCACTGCTCTTTGCCACAGCAGGAAGCAGGAGTGGTGTGGGTTCATTTATTATTTTTGCTGCAGATTCACAATCGTGCAGATGTCAGCAAACCAAATCTCAGATTTCTTTGTGATTCATCCTCATTTTCTTCTTGTCTCATAATCTAAAGGTGCTTTGATACATTTTTTAAAAAGCACTATAAAACATTTTTGTCAGTGATATCAAGCTGAGTAAAAAATCCTTATACAATGAACATCAGATAAAAGTAGTGTACAAAAGTATAAACAAATAAAAAAAATACATCTGACGCCCTTTTACAATTCTGTGAACCTCCTACGAGCTAGGATTGTTGAACTGTGAACGATGGTGAAAGTAAGGATCATTTGGGTGACATGTTTATCTCAAACAGATAGATTTGTCAGGCCCAAGTTGAAACCAAGAACCTCACTTTTTTTCAGAGAAAATCTTGCAATTGAAATGTTTGTGATAGTTTCATTTCTCTGCAAACCCTTCTTCTGGTGCAGTTTTGGGTATTGGGTGACTGTCCTCTCCAGAGCTGCTGAAGGGCGATGTCACTTAACGTCTCAGGGACGGAACAACTGAAGCCTGACTACAAATGATGTGGCTTCCTGCTCAGGGGGAAACACCATGATGGATGTGTGAATGTGCTTTTCTGTTTTCCAGTTCAGAGTTTGCATATTATCTTGTTTGGCTTGTGTGTTGCATGACAGCAGTTCCCACGTCAAGCACAAGAGGAGCTGCAGGTATGTAGATACAAATGACAATCTCATCAAATTACCTTTTGAAAGGTCATATTGATACTGGTGGGGATTATTGCACCTCTTGTGGTAACAGGTAGGCTATAAGGTACAATACAAGGCCTTAGCCTATAATGGAGCACTAGTTCTCTCCTATTGTCGGTCACAAAAAATATATTTTTTAAAACTATCAAAATCAGAGGCTTTTATAGTGTGAAGACAGCTGCCTGTTTAACATATTAACATACAGATGAACATGTGGTAAATTTTATTTCTTGTGGTTTTTACTGATAGGCTAAGTTTATTTCATTTGGCTAGGCTATGCTATTCAGTAATAGACTAACATTACACATTGCTAAGCTAAATTGAAATGTTAAGAATGGGGGGGGGTCGGATTAGCATTCTGTGGCAGACTGAAAAGGAATAGGTAGACTCTCAGGTTCTGATTCTGGCTCTGGTGGCTCAAACATGTAGGGCTAAATAGGTCAAATAGAGCAGTCAGATGAAGCCTCCATTGTCAGGTCCTTCAAATTTTGACAGTTGAGAGGGGCGCGTCTTTTCCCGCGAGTGGGCGTGGCTTCGACGCATTCAACAACAGACACGCCCACAGCATCCCAGAGCAGGGAGAAAGGCTTCATTTTCATAACTTTTTAAGCTTCAATATAAAAGTTTAGTTTTTTTCTCATTATTGAAATTTGGCCTGGTGGTTGGTAACACATTCCTCTGTTGTATAAGAAACTTAATATATATTGGCAGTTGTCATTGACAACAGACTTTCATGGGACAAACATGTACAGAAATGAATAACGAAAATGGGAAATACTTTGTCTGTGATCAAAAGGTGTGCAAAACACTTGACACAACAAACACTTAAACAACTCATTCAAGCCTTATTTTTCTGTCATCTTGATTATTGCTCTGTGGTTTGATCAAGTATTTCAATAAGTAACGTCAAAAAATTGCAACTGGTCCAGAATAAAGCTGCACGAGTTGCTCTCTCATGTGGTTTCAGATCAAATGTCAGTTAGATGCATGAACGCCTCTCTTGGTTGGAAGTTAAACATGGATTATTATATTCACTCATGGTTTTCTTACAGAACATGATAACAACAAAAACTCCTTTTAACTTGTACAGAAGATTATCTTTCAGTACAGACACACACCATTATCCAACAAGGCATGCTATGGGAGATTGTTTTACTCTTCCTAAATTAAGAACATCAGCATCTCAACGTTCAGTAACATACAGAGCAATGCTGGAATGGAATTCACTCCCAAGTAATGTTAAACAACAAAGCACTGTACACAGTTTTAAAAGAAGTCTTAAAGAACATTATCTACGGAGAAACTTTAGTCAGTTCTGATAGGACTACTGTGCCTTTTTTTTGGTGTAACCATGTTATGTCTTAGATGCTGTAAATCAGATGGAGCCTTTGTGTTTGTCTGTTTCTTTTGTGTTTTTTTTTCTTTATGTCAATTATCTATTATTTTTAGTTATTGAAGAAATGTTTTGGAATGTTTGTGTAGTGTGAAAAGAATAATAATAATATGAATTTGTAAAATGTATTGTCACAATATAAACTGTGGACCCCAGGAAGAATAGCTTCTCGTTATGCTGAAGCTAATGGGGATCAAACAAAACAAACATATTATTGCTTTACAGGGATGTTTAATATGACTCATTCTCCCTGCTTTTGTTAGCATGTCAAAAAAGCCCTAAGAAAAACCAGAACAGAAGACATGGATAGTAGGAAAAAGATAACTTTATTTCAATATAAGTCCTTTTATCCATTTGGCAGTTTTATATAAATCAAACTCTTAGTAATCCACACCAATCTTTGGCATACATTGTTAATCAAATATTATACAAAACGCCAGTATATACACTTAATTTGAAATTTCCCTTATAGTCTGTTCTAAAATGTTTTGCCGTAACTGTAAATGTGATGTGAGAAAGTGTGCCTGTCTGAGTTTGAGTCACTGGTTTTGTAGGTGGGGGAGTCACATGTTGTAACCTGAGTCCGTGAATGTCAAATCCTGATTACAGTCATTGTGCAACTATAAGGACAAACATGAACCCACTACAGGTCCTTTATTACACAGATGCACACACTCAGGGTTAACTGTAACAAAATAGAACATTCTGTTTTTTAAGGCAAACATCTGAAGGTGAAGTCAAGTCAGAAATCATTTCACAGTGAGTGATTAACTAGATATATGACAGGGAGGTTTTATTGTTCAGAGACACACAAAAACAGCCATAAAGAAAATGATTCCTGCCTGTGATTTTGGTCAGACTTTGTGAAAGTGATGTGGTTTAAAGTGTGAAGGAAGTACATGTAGAGATCGAAACTCTGGACCACAGAACAAAAACATAACAAAATCTTAACCCCCCAACACTGCAGCGTTAGCCACTAGGAATTCAACAGCGTTGGATTCCACTATTCTCACTGTTGGAATTTATTTTAAATCTTGAGATGTATACTCATTCCTCAGCGTTGGGATGTCTGGATTGCAGCGTGAGAACCTGTGCACTATGTCAGGCATGGGAACCTGAGTGCTCCTCCCTCTCCAGGCCTGCATGCAGACCGCAAAGGTAGTTTTTCTTCCCATTTGCGGGGTCGCTAGTTTCAGATAAAAAAGGAACAGGTTTCCTTACAAGTTACGGGATGAGTGTGACTTTTCCAGAGACCTCCCTCATTCTGGTCAGGTCACTTTGAGCGGTGATGGACCTTAAGGCTCAAGCTGCTCTCACAATTAAAACTAGTGGTCTACAACCTTTTATTGTTGTTTTTAGGGGTTTCATAAAAAGCTAAGATTACAGGCAAACCCGCATTAAGAAACCCTTACAAATCAAGTGCATTTCCTTTATAAAAAACTGCAGGGCTAAGCCTACATGAAAATGTACATAATTTACAATATAAAGTAAAAAAAAATCTAAAAAAAAAACTCTGATATAAGATAACCTAATAAACATGATTTGCGCACCAAATGACCCTTGTAGGTGTCTTCTGCACAACTGGAAACCAGCTTTGTGTGTTTCAGTGCAAAAAACATGTTTGAAAAGCTTCTACACATTTTAACTTAAAACACATGTTTGATTTCTAATGTTAACAAGCATTATCTGTTAAAAAAAAAAGTGTGGCTTGAAATTACATTTAAAAAAGGTAGGTCATAGTGGGTTATACAAGTTAAATACATTATCTACCACAAGCACATTTCTTCTAGATAGCGATCTACAGACAGTTTTTGTGAGCTTTCTCATCAGTTTGACATAGTTAGGATGAATCTGATACTTTTAGAGGTTTTTTAAAGACGCTTATGTAAGAAATAGATTTTTGTCAGTGCCTTCAATTTGACATATTGCCGCCCAGAAGTAAACAATTTGTGGCAACAGTTTGTTTACTACAGTACCAGACATGTGGCTACATCAATTTCTTTCACATTTAGACTTAATGACCCGAAACCTAGAACTTAGGTCTATAGTGGACTAAGCACGAGTACCACTTTACTATTCTGCTCACCTGAATGTCCCCTCTGAAGATCTTATCTTATCAAGTACTGTAGGTCATGGTTTTAGTCAAATTGTGCATAGTCTGTGATTGTCCTGAGTTCCACTTGAGAGTTAAAATTGAAGCAATCACATAGCTGTCAACTGTTACCTGTTTAAATACCATACGCATTCACTCATATTTGAGATATGAGTGTGAGCCTTTAGGGGCCATTCTTCCTGTGCACCTGTGCTAGTACTTCCTGTCTCAGTCGCCCTCCGCTCCCCTCATCACCCCCAGCCTCAAACCGCATCCTACACACTGTCACAATATCACTAGTAGAAGAAGAAAAACACATCACTGCCACAGTCACAGACACAAAAGTGTGACATATAGGTGTGCAAACGTGAAGACAACAGGGTCTTCCCCATCTCTACCCCTCAGTTTCTTTTACAGTGCACAATGCTGCAGGCACAAGGTGTGATCAAGGGGCAGCGGTTCACATTCACATTCATGCCCTTCTGCGTCACAGTGTATGTGTGTGTGTGTGTGTGTGTGTGTGTGTCTGTGTGTGTGTGTGTGTGTTTGAATTCATGCTCCTTACTCCTTACTCATTACTCCTGAATGTGTTGTAGAGGTCTCTGAGCATGATAGTCAATAGTTGGAGATGTGTTCTGTTCCTGGATGTGGTCAAACGCCCGCAGGAAGTGGCCATTGTTCTGCTGGTAATAGTACACCAGTTTTTTTGCAAACACTGGCTCCACCTAAAAAGGAAATTTGGTTTACATGTGAAATATGTTCAGCTGAATCAGGTTAGCTACTTGTGCCCCTTAAAGAAACAGAGTGGTGCAGAGTGGTACAGAGTGATACCTAAAGACAAAGTGAATGGAAAAAATAAAGGTGTTTAAAGTTAATTGGTTGCCTCGTAAACTGCACCACAAAGATTGTGATGCCTTCATTTTTATATTCTTATTTGATTTAATATTTTTTCCTCCAAAAAAATTCACCTAAAACCGGAATTTTGTCAATCTTCTTTCATATTTAATATATATAATTACATCCAAAACCAAAACAGTCAGTAATTATAAATAAATACATCTGTTTTTTGTTTTTTTTTAAGATTTATTTTTGGGCTTTTGTTCCTTTATTGGAGAGATGGGACAGTGGATAGTGTTGGAAATCAGGGAGAGAGAGTGGGGAATGACATGAGGGAAAGGAGCCACAGGTGGGATTTGAACCTGGGCCGCTCGCTTGGAGGACTGCAGCCTCCATACATGGGGTGCATGCACCAACCAATGCACCACCAGCGCCCCAGATATATCTGTTATGCTAAGTTTCTCCCTTTTGGCAAATTTAATTTCAGAATACTGCATAAATACACATATTATGAATACACAGAATAAAAAAGGTGCCCCAAAATAGCATGAACTTAACATTCACACATTCACAGAAATCTTTCATGCTAAATACCCTCAGCGTTTTCTTTTCAGAAATACAGTTCCACATACATCTACCTACTGTGCTGTGATTGGTTAGAGCTGTTTTTGATAAGCCATAAAGGCCAAGCGGTCAAACAGGAATTTCCCTGTTCAAATGCTGTGAACCCAAATGTCAATGATGACTTGATACTTCACCTTGAAGTGCTAACATAATGCCTGTATCTAGAATGTTTGACTAAAATGTTTGAAATCTTGCCACTGAATGGTTAAAGAAAACTACTTTAATATTTAAGATAATACCAGGTAATCAATTAAGCTAGCTCAAAACAAGGCATTTTAGAGCTTAGCTTCAGCCAAACTACTAAATGCAACTAATTTGGGGTGCCAGGTAGCCTAGTGGTTATGTTTTATACCCCATGTACAGAGGCTAAAGTCCTCACTGCAGTGACTGTGGGTTCGAACTCAACCTCAGCCCTTTGCAGCATGTCATCATCCACTCTCTCTTCCCAACACTTCCTGCCTCTCTGCAGCTGTCTTATCTAATAAAAGAAAATATCACCCAAAATATAACTTGAAAAAAAAAAACAGCTCAGTAAATCAACAACTTAATTTAGCTTCAGATTTAATTAAGGATTGGTGCGGCTCTCTGACTACTCAGTGTGATTTAGTGCCACTGATTTAGCTGCACAGTATACGTTTAGTTCAGTTACATTTTTAGTTTAGTTTTGAAAGGGGTTTGTACAGAATTACAAATGGATATTTTTGAAATATGTTAGTGAACAAAAATTATATTTTTTGTAACCTTAGTTTTGTAAACAGGCAATTAGGTTTCTATTTAAAAAGTTTTGCATACATACCTATTGTTTAAGTGATAAATGATTATGATGACTAACACTTGACAATATAATGTTGTTAATTGCTGAGATAAGTTTTACCTGTGCTGTGATCATCTTCCTTGGGCGCTGTGGATCAGGGTACTCGTCTCCAAAACACAGCACCACCTGATGTCTCGGTAAATGCCGGCCGTTGTGAATAAAATCCTGAAGCTCTGAAAGAAGTACAGAGAAGAGAAAGTAAAATGAGATGCATGTTACAAAACAAACCAGATAGGTGCTACTTATCACACCATTAAAATGTCATGTTGAAATACACATTAAAGCGTTCAAAAAAAAAAAAAAAAAAATGTCAGAAGTTTTTTTCTGTTCATAACCACTTTTTTGGACAAATCTGCTGCACTGATGGAAAACACTTGGTGAAATAACAGAAAAACACCACCTTGTCATGCAATGGCGGACCACAGGAGGTGGGTGGGGACTCTACACCACATTGGACCCCTGGTGAGAATGTCACTAGCTTCCAAAAAGGGACTTACCAAACAGAACCACATGTAGCTCGGCCTTCAGTATTAATCGTCAACCTCATCATATCTATTATCAACACAACCACAACCTTTAACATACTGTGAACATCTGAAGCAGAACGGTTGTAAGTGCAATCTTGTTATTAATAGCCAAATTGGTTACATTAGACAAGCAGCATCTAAATCAATGTATATCGTAAGTACAAGGCGAGAAGATTCTATTAACTCAAGACAGACAGCAGCAAGCAGCTACCTTTACAGGTATTAAGTTTTCATTAAATTACACTCCAACTTGTATACACACCAGCTGAGAACGTCTTATGCACTGCACTGTTTAATTAAAGGTAATGAACGACTGCTCAATCTTTGGTCTAAAACACAAACATTCAGTTCAATCAACTCATATGAAGGACAATAACTTCATACATTTATTAGACTACTTTTATTTAGTATAATTTAAAGACCCTTGCTCTTTACTATCATCCTTTTTGCCGTACTTTCTGCTTTCTACATTTTACAGCAGCATTTAGTCCTTATTCCTACACTGAATTTATCAGTCAGCCTCAGTTACCATTTGATTTACAGATAAACATTGAAATAAAATAATATATGACACAATCCTTTTCAAAAATATTATTATGCCTCACTATTAATTAAACTACAAAACTGTTAAATAATGCATCCTGGGTGCCGCTGGCCTAGTGGTTAGTTTGCGTGCCACATGTACAGAGGATATAGTCCTCCAAGCGAGCAGCCCGGGTTCGAATCCGACCTGCGGCTCCTTTCTCGCATGTCCCCACCCTCCTCGATTTCGTACTCTATCCACCCTAATGCTTTACTTAAGTCCCCTGCATTGTACTGAAAGCAATCAAGACACAATATAAAAATGTTTTTAACAGACTGTTGTGTAGTTGTAAGAAAAATTGTTTAACATCTTTTGTTTGATGTCAATGTAGTCAAGCCAGTACTTAAAATACAAAAAAAAAAAAAAAATAAATATTAATATTCACTTTGGGTACATTTTTAAAACACAAATTTAAATTGTATTTGTTAAATGTTTTGTCTTTTTTAAGAATAGAAGGTGTGCTGTACAGATAGTAAACCAGATTTGATTGGTGGAAAAAAGAACCCCACAGAACACATTAGTGCTCACCAATAAGAAATTGTTGAGTGTCAAACAGTTTGACCGCCTGCTCCTTCTCCAGCTTGTTGGGTTTATCTGAATATGGAGCCAGAGGTCCTTCCCAATACACGCGTCCCTGGCAGAGGCGTTTTCCATATAACCCATCAGGCGTCATCCACAGGAGCACACCCTTCTCCAGGACATTAGGGAGCTTCTCAGCACCCTGCCGGTGAGACTCGGGGTACGGGAATGGAAAAAGGATGACCTCAGCCCCGCTGTGAAACTTGTCCTCCGGGCATGGGGAAGAAGACGAGGAAGAGGATGGAGATGAGGGTGAAGAAGAGGTGATTCGACAACCTTCTGGGCTGGTGGTGGTGACTTCCTTCACCAAAGACTCTCTGTAGTAAAGGGACACATGCAGGCTGAAATCTGGAAGAAAGAGACAAGTGGTCAGCTGAAGTATTCATGCAGGGAACTTAATTTGCAGTAAGTTTGCTCTATTATAAGTTCAACACCTTTTCACTCTCTGTCTTTAGTCTATCTTCTATTTGTGTTCAGTAGTCTCTGTATCACAGCTCTGAGTTTAGAATAGGGAAGTAAACCTGTGTTTGTATTTTCTTATCTATAAATGCAAGTATATTTAAAATACAAGTATGTGAGTGAACCTCTGCGTGTGTCTGACTAGAAATGAGTCAGGGATGATTGTTGATACCTGTGATGGCATTGTTGTGGTCCACTGTGTACATGGGCAGTTGAGACTCTGAAAGGTAGGTGTGGAATGAGAGCTGAAAACCTGCATGGAACAAATTCAATAATTACATGTCAGAGAGGAGAAGAGAGCATTGAAAATGAAAGTTCATTACATTTCCTTTTTTTTTTTTTTTCAATCTTATCTGAACAAACGCAAGTTTAAGAATGTCACCAGTTTAAGTCCCGGCGTGGACCAAGTCTGGAAATTGTTCTGGTAGCTAAAGAGGTGCCAGTTCACTTCCTGAGCACTGCCGAGGTACCCATCATCAGAGTGTAAAATGAAATGTCCTCTCGCGTGATTAATCAACTCTATCATCTTCCTTCTTTCTAATGGCTTTGTGGCTACTTCACTTAGCTTGCTCTCGTCTTTTGTTCCTTGGAAGCTTGACTGTACACGTTTTATTGTTAGGAAAGGTATAATGCTACTACAGATAATATGCTACTACAGATAATAATTAACATATATATAAGTCAAGAATTACTGATAAGAAAAAACAGGATGAATCAAATCATCTTAAAAATTCTCTTTTCGTTTCCATTTTACTTTTTAATTCAGCTTTTATTCACTCACACATGTTTTTTGTTAAATGACAGAAAATATGTCACAGTGAGGAGTCTGTGTTTGGAAAGTGATGCAAGTTTTTCAATATAAAATGTGAAAACGGAAATAACAGAACTTTTAATTTATAAGAACAAGTCAAACGCCAGATTAAGCTCAAGATATTATAATGGATTTGGATAAAAGCGTCTGCTAAGTGAATTGTAGAATAATAACAGTCAAAAGTGTACATAAATTCTATGATCCTGACCTGCTCTTAATGTTGTATCCATGACATGAGTATGGCCATATCTTACCATTCTCTGTGTGAGACCCTGGCCAGGCCCTGCCAAACGCTGATGGGTAGTGGCTTTGACCATACTGCACATCTGAATGTGGCCCCGGATGTTGCGCATGAGGAAGAGGCTGTTGCTCTGGTGGCGAGTAATCCCTCCAGTCTCTTCTCTCCTGAGAAAAGGTAAATCCAGGTCCCTGAGAGAGGGTAATAAGGACGATCACTCAAAAAGAAATTGCCATTAAACCCAAGACTTTAACACTCAGTAACATTGCCGATTCATTTCCATTTGGTTCAGTGCATGCAGCACAAACAGTATCAATCCTCTGACCTGGTTGTGTAGAGGTGTGTATGCAGGGATATAACCATGTGTGTTCACATGTGAGGTTGTCTCCTCCATACTGCTCATCTTCATCCCTGGAGGGAAAACCATGAAAGCAGGATTACAACATAATTCACAAGCAAAGACAGTAAATGTGAGAAGCAATATTCTAATATAAACTTACTATAGCCTAATGCATTTTAGCAGGTTCACACAACGACCATGTGTTTTTGCATTTTTGAGTTACTTCTATTTTAGTGTGATTGATGACTGTTATGCAGAGAGTGTGCAACATACACCAGAGACTTACACAGCAACCTTAAACCTGTTCATTTTCTAGAGTAAACCGTTAGCCAGGATAGCTAGAACTGCTCTAGTGTGAAAAAAAGCTGTTGTTGTCCGATGGAAGACACTTAGTTATGCAAGGCTGGAGGTCGTCTGGTTGTGCTCTGTGCACCCTGCACCAAGTAACCGAAGCCCTCTTAAAAAAGCACTGCAGCCTTTTTGGTACATGCTTTGGCTTCCTTTGTGCTTCCTGCTTCATCAGAATCAGCAGCAGTGGTGCATGTGTGTGTGAAAAAAAACATTGCCAAGAGGCTATAAACAATGTGAGATGTAGCGCTGTACTGTTTATGCAAATTAGGCACTGCTGTAGAACACCTTGGGTTTCTTACTTATTATCAAAGTTTGAGCCATACAAATATTTTTTTACAAACAACAGTTTACATTAGGACATCTTTCATTGCATATGGGAGGTTGAATATAGTTTTTAGACCATAAGCTGCATCTTTGATGGATCATTTCACAGTCTTACCTTTTTTAGCTTCCTCTGGAATGATCCTGTAGACTTTGTAGGGCTCTGAGATGTCCAGTTGACTTCTTGTCACTAACTCATCAAAGTCATTGCTTTTATTAAGAGCACAACGTAGTCTAGTTTTCCATGTAGGGGGGTCTGGCTTGTCGACTCCTTCCTTATATTTTCCCTTAAACAATGCCCATGCCTATAACATCAATGAAAAGAGTTAAGTCACACTTCCTCTTTAGGCATGCCATTTTAAACGTAAGGGCTCTGAATAGTCAATAAGAGTGCATTTAAAATGACTACATTGTTACTTCATGTGCTCTTTCATATGCAGTAAGTGTGTTGAATGTATGGTTGTCAGAGGCGTCAGGCGGACCATGAACACATCTAGGGTGATCTGACCTTGAATAGTGCAGCATCCTCCTCTCTGTTGTAGTCTTGTTTTCCTGCGTGTTTCCACGGAATCCTGAAGATGGATTTTTCATCATTTTCCCAAACTAGGCCGGGATATCCCCCGCTCTCAATCTGGTCAATCAGCCACTGCCTCAGTTTGCCATTGCCACAGCTCACTGAAAGGCCGCCATCCTCGTCCAGGTTCATCTGTGCACAAGGAAACAAGATTAAGCAGGTTGAAAAAATGGGGTCTTAGGGAAGACTCTCTATTGAAATAAGCCTAAAATAGAATTTGGATTTATTTTTTATTTTATTTTTTATAATTGCTATACCTTTATTTTTTAATTGTACTTCTTGTGGTACCAGGGTAAGTCTACTCCACGTGAGTTCTCATACATGCAACTCCACACTGTATCTGTAAAATTAGGCTATCTACAGTTGTTTTAGTTGTTGACACTTTTGGTAGGCCTACTACTCATTTACAAAGCAAATGTTTTGGGTTTTTTTTACTTTATAACTGTCATAAAAAGAAAATGTGACTCACTTCTACATACAACAATAAAAACATAAATCAATTTAGCAGCAATTTAAGTACAAGTTTTTAAAAAGCAATAATTCCATTTAGACATAAACATAACTCTGACAAAATTTGCCCAAAAAAAATCTACTTAATCTGAGTTCACGTCAACTTGAGATTCCACCTGCCAGTGCTGACACACACTTGAGTGAGAGTTGTTAATTGATTCATTTTCATCATTTCTCATGTTGAACACACCGTTGTCTCATCTTAAAGGAGCTGCAGTCGCTTACCTTTGATGCTCGTTGCTCCTCGGCTGAAATCTGTTGATGGCTCTCTCGCTGTCCTTTTCTTAAACGTTATCACATCTTCATTTGTGACGAGAGGTGGGGGGGGGGGGGGGGTGGGGGAGGGGCCTGTGGGGCTTCATGCGTTTAAAAAAGTTCAAAAGGGAGATGCGCAGCAAATGGGGCGCACATTTCTGTGAAACTGGTCGCCCACACGGAGCTGCGGTGGGGAATCCCTCTCGTGACACCCTGAGCTGAACACAGAGCTGGGTGGAGTGGAACAATTACCTGTGCACATAACCGAACAGAAAATATCGACACTTATTCCCACGTGTTTTTGTTTTTCTAAAGCCTGTGAATTCACCTTATTTTCCGGGTTCAGGTGAAACCGTGACTAAAACAATTCTATGAAGTCGTATGTTGGTTTCACAGTGGAAGATAATACGCCAAAGTACCTGTCAAAAAGGCGCGTGTCGCAATTATTAAAGCATCTATTCCAGGCTAATTGTGCGCATTACTGCCCTCTAGTGTCTGCCTCCGTATGCGCCACTATCTGTATTTTAAAGTCTACTCAGTTTATAATCTTTAAAAGTAATGGTTGATATTTGTGTCATTGTGCCTTACAGTCTACAGAGACAACTAAAAATGATTAAGCACTTAAGACTGAGAAAAGATCATGTTTTTCTTGTTGTGATGGCACCACGCATGACCTCCCTTGCACATAAGACAAACAGGAAAAAGAAGCAGGAAGCAGAGACATAAACACATCACAGAATGTCTTATCACCTCCACTGACTGACAGGCTCACTGCAACACTTCACTTTTTTCTCCTTTTATTTCAAAATGTTATATCTTCATGACACCATACAAAACACTCTGTTTACAACAATCATAATTTAGAAAAAAAGAAAAAAGAAACATCATGCAATGCTAAAATTAAAAAAAGAAAAGTTACATGTGCTGTACAAGTAATGGTCTCTTCCAGTGGTAGTGTCTGTTATATGTAGACTATCATTTCAGCAGTGATAAACATCCTGCTAGTAGTCCATTTTAATGCACAGTAGACTTCCAGAGAGGTCCAGTGTACTGTAGAATCACATGGAGGTGTAATATCCAGGCCGGACGGTAAAATATCTGATTCGAAGAGCTGATCAGATATCTCCTGGTGGGGTAGACGGCTGTTTTTTCACCTCCTTCCCATTGACTTTAGACGCCCTTTCAAGCAAGTCCCGGATATCAGCCTCGTCATTGAAGGGGTTATCCTTATATTCTATCTGTAGCCATTGTCTGAACTACAGGATGAAAAAAACAGTTACAATTACAATTCACTTAGCAGACGCTTTCAGCCAAAGTGACGTACATCATCAGAGTAGGTACAACACTAATCCATTCATACACCGCCACCGAAGCAGCAGGAGCAATGCAGGGTTAAGTGTCTTGCCCAAAGACACATCGGACATGTTGCTCAGCTGGGGATCGAACCCTCGAATGTCTGGTTGAGAGGCGACGACTCTACCAACTGAGCCACAGCCGCCCCCAGTTCATCTTCTTATGACAATGCAAATAACACTACTACTGATGGTGCACTCTCTCCTTCCCTGTCTATTCAGTGATAATTTATACAGGTTCCACTCTCTGGTACACAAACTACCACCACTCGGTTCCCAGGACTTACCTGATCTGCTTGATTAACCTCAAACTCCTGTAGCTGCCGCTGAAAGCCCAGGTTGGGGCCGGCACAGGGCCGAGCCACCCTGACTGCAGCTAGCGCCTCCTGCCAGCCCAGTCCTGTCAATGTCATGATATAAGCTACCACCAGGGTGACACTGCGTGACACTCCAGCCAAACTGTAAGAAGAGAGGGATGGACAAAGATACTTGACACTATTTCACTTAGTAACACTTTTAGGTGTGATGCATGTGCAAAGTCCTTTCCATTTTGAATAGTTATGCACAAGTATCAGTGGCCATGCAAAAATGCACATTAGCATCTCAGTTATGTTTTTCTGTTTGTTCCGGTTGTGTTACACATGTAACATATCCTAGTTTTTGAAGATGTGACTAAGCTTTAAAACCAGCTTTTGAGAAAACTTGATTTTTTATGTTGAGCAGGATGTAAATATTCAAAACTGGAGTTACTTAGTGCTCATCATAATTTCTTTAATGATGGTTTTCAAATAGAGAACCTTTATATTAATGTTGCTATGGTAGTCCATTAAAGAAAATTACAGTAGATACAGTAGGTTAATCCAGAAAAATATTTGAGCTGTATAAACAGGGAAACTGGTTTCACTATGTATCATAAAGAAGCTCTAAGCAGACATGCAGCGTTATATTGTATTCACGTCATTTTCCTGTGATAACTTGTATTTTAAGTTGTTTTCACCAGATTATGCTGGTTTTCCATTACAACGCATAGAGTCATCTCATTAGCTCAAGGTTTCAAAGCTTGTTTTCCAGAGATAACAGGATTATTTTCTGTAAATTTAGAAAACAACACAATGGCCTGGTCACTGTGATTTGCCAGACAACGACATGCCATGCTGCCATTACCCACACCAGTGAGGTAAATTAAGCCTGTTCCTATGTTGGTTTTTGGGCTTTTGCTACTTTGACGATAAAAGATGAATAAGTGGAGTTTTCGAGAAAACGACTGGAAACTACTGGTTATAAAATGAATTGATGCATGTCTGCTTCAGGCTTCTGTAGGTCCATGTAAACATCATGTCCTAAATATGTTTATAAGCAGATTCAAAGCAAAGGAACCCAAGTGTTTGTTATGCAACACAGCTCAACAACTCACTCACATTAGAACCAGATTATACTGTACAGTGGGTGACAATTGAGGAAGCTATGGGTGGACTACAGATAGTGACCGGTGGAGATAGAATATAATGAAACAATTATTTGGTAAAATAAGGAAACTAAGGTGTAAAAACTGATTGAATATACATTTAACACTTAAAAGAATAAAATAATTTATTATTTGAATCATATGTTTAGTAGAGAAACCTTTGGCAATGCAAATCTGATACTGTAACTAGCCTCTTGTTCCAATGTGCTTCTGATAAGACCCTCTCTGTCTACCAAAATATAACTCCCCCCTGTGAACATATGGTCAGCCACCATGCTGCAAACAAACAATGTGGGTCTGCTGTGATACTGTACTCTGTTTTGGGAAGTTCAAGAATAGGCTTCTTGCTTATCATTTAATCTCTTCTGTGCAGCAGTAACACATGGCTTCACTCGAGTGCATGGTACATGACCTCATTTGTAGCTCTAGATTTAGAACTGAACAAGATAGATGGAGGTAATTTAGCTAATTTAGTTACTAGAGTTGCTTATCTTGTTTAGTAGGGCATGAGTGAAGCTCGGTTCCCGCACTGTTAAAAATATACAGGCTTTGTTTCTCTCACCAGTGAACGAGGCAGCCTTCTCCCTTCAGGCGGGACTCATGCATGAACATTATACTTTGTTTAAAGTGCTGGGTCCTGTGGGAGACAAAAGAAAATTATAATTGGCTACAACAATATCAAACCATGAAGAGCACTGTGACTGTGGCGCTCAAACTCACACACATCTAAAGGCAGACTGTTTACATACATGTATGTTTTGTTTTTGCACATGCAGAGTTTATATTTTGGTGCCTGCCCTGTCTAACCCTGAAACTTATTTTCCGGGATGGATGAGGAGAAGGGTGTGGATATCTCAGGTTTGAGAGAGTTGGAGTCATATTTCACAGAACAGGTTCCAGACACTTCACACTGTGACATAAGAAGTGTGGGGCAACCAGGGCACATAGAGAGAGAGAGAGAGAGAGAGAGAGAGAGACAGACAGACAGGGGTATTAGTGTGCATTTGTGTGTGTAAGTTATGAGGTAGGGGGGGTGGGTATAAATAGAGGCACAGCACCTACCAGCATTCTTAAACCGCAAACTGATCAGCTGAGCTGCCTTCTCAGGGAAGAAGCTGCCTGAAATGGGAATTTAATCTTGGAATTTTTGTATATGTACTTTTGATCAGGGAATCCCTCTGTGACACATGCACCACATTGTGGAGCTTTCATCCCCAGATTGCATGCTGCAGTAAAATCCCTGCGTGTGTCTAGGCACACTACAGATAAAGAGCTGAACGTGACTGTGATCTAATCAGACAATGAGATCACAATGAAACGCTGTTAACGCATATCATTTACACGTTAGCTTGAAGAAAATGAACCTCAGCCGCCCACACAGTGCAGCCTCAAATGGATGAGGTACTCTCTCTCTCTCTGCCTCAGCAGTTCTTCTTCTTTGTGTGTGTGTGTGTGTGTGTGTGTGTGTGTGTGCGTGTGCGTGTGCGTGTGTGTGTGTGTGTGCGTGTGTGTGTGTGTGTTGCTTTCCTGCACATTTTTAGTACATACAGGTTTTGTGTGGGCAGGTCAGCCGCTGAAATGCACAGGTAGGTCATCTCCTGGGGGACAAAGCGTACTAGTTACCTGTCAGCCACAGCCACTTCTTCTATGCACCAAACACAAATCAATTAACAGCAGGTGGTAGATTCATATGAGTGCTGCCAAAGGCAAATACAAGCTGCGGTACTGTGTGGAAGAATAAAGGACATTTTAAGCTGATTTGCAGACACATTTGTATTTTAAATTGCAAAAGCTGAGAACAAAAGCTGCAGTTGTATTAGCAGAGAAACGCAACATCCATAAGAATACCTAGAAAATATAATAATGAAGACCAGTTCCACAGTCTACATTGAACGAGCTGGAACAACCGCCTACGCTCAAACCCACACAAGAACACAATTCAGGACACTGACCAAACCAACTGTTGTTGACTGGCATTCTTCATGATTCTCCAACTATCACGAGTGAGAAACTTCTCTAGTCGTTGTAACTCACTGACAACCAAGAAGTGTTTGCTCAGTCAGGAGGCTGCATGATAAAACCTCATCCTGCACAACCTGACAGACCGGTTTGTAGTCGGTTCAGATTCGTGAGCAATATATCCTGATAAGGCCAAGAAGGTCTCAAAAATCAGATCCTTTCAGCATTACTTGCTTGAGCACTCTGCTTAGAGTGTTGAATGAGAAATGTAAGACATTTGCAC